ACCAAAGTGATTCAAAATTAACAAAACATTATCAAATCAAAGTTAAACACAGAATACGGAAACATATGGTGTGTGCTTTGCAATCATCCTGAGCCATTCCTTTTGAAAATTAAAGTACCTGAAACAATAAACTGAAAACCGTAAGCACAAAGCTTCGTGAGTTCCCCAAGATACCTCATACCATACATAACAAAACATATAATAGGCCCCGCCCGATCATTGAGTTGAGCTTGCTAGTAAATCGGTCCCCGCCTGGTCATTGGGCCTTAGCCCGGAAAGCATATAAACACATACATTTGCCAGAGTCAAAAAGACAGTTAGCATACTAACATAACATGAACATGGTTTAACATTGGTGCCTTCGACCCGCTAAACCCAGTGTGGAAGCTCACCTCACACTGCTGAAGTCCTATAAATAAATCTCTAGCTGCTGGCTAACAGATCCCCGAACTGTCAACATCAAAACAAAACCCAATTAACAATCTTGGTTTCGATGAATAACCATAAATCCATACATCGGGTAAAAAGACCATTGTACCCCCTAACCTAGCTTGGTCCAAGACCAAGGCCCAAACTCACACTTTGAAGACTTAAAAGCCAAATAATCAACCAAGGCCCAACTATGGCCCAATTTTCTAAATTAGGCCCAAACCCCTTACATGAGCCTTACCCTAAAACCCATCCAAATATCCTAGTCCATACACTTGCTCTTAGGTGGCCCATTAAGAATTCAAACACCTAAGCCCAAACGAAAAGGCCCAAATCGAGCCCATACACAATTAGGGTTTTTACATGAAATGACATTTAGGGTTAAGTAAAAACACTTAACCCGTTAAGGAGTTAATCCATTAAGGCCACTATCCTACTAGGTCAATCATACGATGTCATTGGGCATAATTCATAATTCAATTCCAACGGTCTAAAATGCGGGTCCCAAAAAGTCCCAAACAAAGGTTTCCAAGATTTGGGTTTTCTAAACCCTAATTAGGGTTTCCAACCCAAGAACATGCCAACTAAGTCCAAGATTAAGCTATAGGGATGATTAGGGTTTCACCAGGCCGGGCACCACCTACAACCACCTTGGACAGTGGTGGTTGACGTCGGTTCATAACGGCAACCACCCGCGCACAGCAACGGTTTGAACAAAAATTCCATTAACCAAACACACATACAATTTGAACATTATCAACACACACCAAATCACATACACAGCCACTTCCTCACGGTGGTTGGTGGCGACAAAAGAAGGAGGCTTAGTGTTAACCATCATGGTTGGCTACCATGGTTGTTCGCCTCACCTCCGGCCAACATAACCCTCCTCCGCATGCTTCACGGGTTCTAGCAGCAACACACACACATACATAACACGAGACCACAAGCTCTCAACTACCGACTGGGCGGCTGAAGACACTGGAACAAATAGAAAACGACGACCAAGGGCCACCGGGTATAGCAACGACATACACGATGTCAAACATACCGAGAGGAACAAAGGAGAGGAGAGAGGAGTGGTGGTTAGCCTTACCGGGAACTTCCTGGTCGCTCACGACCCACACCACGACGAACACAACTTCAAACGTCGACCTCAGTGGCTCTTCCGGCTGTCCGCGACGTCCGGCAGCAGGGGCTGTTATGGAGGCGTTCAACGGAAAGTTAGCAAGAGGTAGGGTGGCAGCTGGACTTGGCTTTGCAGGCGACGGCTGAGAAGCTTCCAAGATGGTGGCGGCTGAAAAGAAAATGAGCTAGGTTTAGGGTTCGGTATTCACCAAAACGAGAGGGAAGGGAAACAAGTTTAGTTCCCGTGTTTTCTTTCAAACATGAGCTCCAATTCCAAGTTTGGCCCTCCTCCACAAAAAAATTTCAACTTAAGTCCCATATATACCAAACACCCCCTTACTTCTGAAAATCTTTACAGACCAAATCCATAAATTACACTTAACCCCCAATATTCAAAAGTTATGACATTTAACTCCCAAAACCAATGCCTTGCTAAATTAATATGGATTTAGGGCTTCAATCAAATGTAATTTACATCTCGGGGCTTAGGGTTTATTTATTTACTTCTTTTATTTATTTAATCTTAAACGAAATGTTATATGTTCGTGTACATTAGTTAATGGCTTTTGTAGTGAGACGTTATTTATAATCTAAGCATAAAAACTTAGCATATCCACACGACTATAACTGTAATCCTTAAAGCGAGATACAAATGTATAGATCTATACGGGTTGACACCCCCATTTGCAATTGCTAGCTACAACCTCGACAGATTAATCGAAACGGGTGACAAATATCTTAGGTTGACTCCACAATATCCAATGAAGTGTTGTGAGGGGTACATCTAGTCACATAACTCAGTTATAAGACTCACTATAAACATTAACTTGATCTCTCTCTCTCTCTCTCTAGAAACTACAGATTTAGTTTCTCTTTATACAAAACATTTTTAAGGACAAAACTTCAAAAATGGTCCCTGTGGTTTTTGAAAATATCAAGTTTAGTCCTTAAGTTCAAAAAACCTCACAAATGGTCCCTGTGGTTTCAAAACTTTTAACATTTGGTCCTTCCGGCTAACTCCGTTACCATTTAGCCGTTAAGTCAGGGGCATTTTTGGTATTTCACTACACAGGGACTATTTATGAGGTTTTTAGTTACTTTTTTTTAAATAAATAAAATTTAATATGCAAGGGTCTCTCTCTCTCTCTCTCCACACACACTCATTATCGATTTTTACAACCGAATCCTAGCCAGATTTTTTGCAATCGATCTCTGCAATCCATTTATCATTGTTACTACAATCGATTCCAAGCTGACTTTTGCAAGTCGATTTCTACCATCACACCTATGCGAACAAAATTTTCAATCCAGAAAGGGAGTTCTGCCCGTTGCAAGAGAATCGAAAAACAATATGGACCACCCTCTCACCGGAAAATACGATGCATCTTTTCTGTGAAAACCTCAATCTGATAAGAACATAACATATGACTCACACATCAAAAACCAGGTGCGATTTCGGATATGAAACCTAAACCTGAATCAAATTTCATTTGATCGTCCCTTCATCCTCCTTCACAACAAGTACTTGAAGATTGATTTTTGAAACCTAATCCTAATCTGAATCGAGTTCTAATTTAAAACCTAAACCTAAACTTGATTTGAAACAATTTTTGATCTGAAAATTCTTTTCGGAAGTTTATCAGGTGCCAATCATAAACAGGCAGACATTTGAAACCTAAACCTAAATTTGCTTAGATTCGTCCATAAACCCACCCTCATCATTGTTATTTCTATTTCCACTGTCTTTGATATGGTTTTCGTTGGAACCTCAAAGTTTTATAGGGAGAAAGAGACGTGAAAGTGACAAAGAAGGGTGAAGGAGATGAGAGGCGAAGATTTGGGTGTTGTGGGATGGTGGGTTGAAAATGTGATTTGATGAAGAATCTCATGAAGAAGATAAAATGCAAAACCAGTAAATCATTTCACTTCAAAACTAGAAATCAAAACCCCATCAAGAGTCTGAAAATCATGAAGATCATTACGAATCTGAGTTTGTTCTTTATCGATAACCCAACTAGAAGAAAGAATAAACAGTATAGAAATTTACAGAAGAAATTGTTGGTCGTATGCTTCTTCGAATTCACTTCCCTGTTATTAATGCTTGTTACCATAGATGCTAGCTTCGATTGACGAAACGGAAAGAAGAAAATAGATGAGGAAATGGGGAAGTAGAAGTTTTGATATGGTGGAAGCCATGGTTTTGATTTTTAAGTGTGAGGGTGTGCATCCAAGAGAGAGAGAGAGAGAGAGAGAGAGAGAGGTGGGACCCTTGTATATTAAATTTTATTTATTTATTTATTTAAAAAAAAGTAACTGAAAACCTCATAAATGGTACATGTGGAGTGAAATACCAAAAATGCCCCTGACTTAACGGCTAAATGGTAACGGAGTTAGCCGGAAGGATCAAATGTTAAAAGTTTTGAAACCACAGGGACCATCTGTGAGGTTTTCTGAACTTACGGACTAAACTTGATATTTTTGAAAACCACAGGATCCATTTTTGAAGTTTTGTCCATTTTTAAGTATGGTTTTACTTACAAAAAAAATGGTCGTTTTAAAAGCATCACTGCATGTAAGTCTCACCAGCCTTGTATTGACCCTCAAAACTACATGTATTCTTAGGAAATCAATAAACAAACATTTCAGACGACAGAATAGTCATGGATTTCGGGTGACCTAGTTTTTCTATTTTTTGTTATATACGCCTAGTTGTTTAAGGCAATTTATGTACTTTATTATTATATATAAGAACCTTATATTCAAACTTCAAGATGAAATACAACTAGTGTTTTGTTATTGTTGTATTGTTTTATTTATTCAAACTTCAAGATGGAATACAACTACTATGGAGGGGTTCAAGTCATGTTTGGAACATATATGTAGTTAGAAATTAGTTTAGAAATAAATTTGATTTGCCATTTAGTAAAATGAAAAATAAATAAAGAAATATAGAAATACAAACTTTTTATAGTTTCAATACTCAAGAAAGCTTTGTGAAAGAAATAAATGTTTTAGGTAAAAGGTTGGCTAAAAAGATCTTATGGACACTCTAATTAATTTTTTTAAATATTTTGATTGGTTAAAATTGTATTGTTTTTCAAAATAAAACAGTTAATTATTTGTTGATTTTTTATAAAAATATAATAAGATTTCTAAAGGATATTATTAGCAACGTTAATTAAATAAAAGAAAAAACTTATCACACATTGGAATCTTACATGCGTCAGCCATAGATGCGTCAGCCATAGATGACGTCTCTTTCTAAAAAAGCAGTTTTACAAACACACAAAGATATTACAAACGCTCAAATATATTATAAAAACTATAAATGTCGGTGTTTCATCGTAAGAAATATTCAACACACATTAATGACATAACAAAGCTTGTAAACGAAAAGTGTCTTCAATTAATTCTCATGAATGATAATTTCAAATGTGTCACTTTTAGACCATTTGATGAGCTTCCAAGCTGTCCATGTTGAGCTCGTCTTCCATGTCATTTAACTTCTGGAAGGCACGGAAGTTAGATATGGCTACGACCCCAAGGAGAACACATATAATTACGTATCTAATCCAATCAAGCTTGTTAGGGATGATTAAGACGAGGACGAGGGAAACAGGGGTGAGGATGCCAAAGAAGGAAAACACTCCTTTTAGGATCATGTAATGAACAAGAGAGAAATCCTCCATTGTCGAGTTTTGCAACCGATGGTTAATGTAAAACAGGACTCCTGAAGTGGCTGTAGCTATGCATAAAGCAACAACCGATAAGTTCATAAAGAAACCACTTGTTTCAAAAGGGGATTTTTTTTGGTTTTGAAACTTCACTTGAATAAGTGATATGATTGGTAAGTAGATGGTTACAAGAGTTGCAGTGTACATTAGATACAAGATTGCTGAGTAATCATGAATCCTGAAATAAAACACAAATATCATCACATTAATAAATGTATCATGAAATAAATGTATCATGAATTGAAAAGGGAAGAACAAATTGATCATATGTTGAAAAATATTCAACGAATTAAATTTAAGTACACCCCCAAAAAAAGTCAAACTCATCCCCCATAATTCCTTTTCCTTTCCTTTGACCACCTCCCGCCATGGAAAAATTAGGATCGGAACCAACCGCCATCACTACACCTCCACCACTGATCCAACCGCCACCAACACCTCCCCTCTCCTGCCACCGCCGTCATCACCACCACCACACTATTAAAAGGAAATCGACGACCCTTGGCGACCACGCCATCGCCAGAACCCACCTTACATTATTCACAATCATCGAGCACCGAATCAAAACCCACGTTCCCACATTCTTCTTCCTCCACCACCCACAAACTATACCAGGGTCAGGGTGTGTTCGGAATAATTTACAGATAGAGAATTAATTACTATGAAATCTTGGGAAATTTTGATCGGAATCAACAGCCATCACTCGAGCTCCCCCTCCCCGCCGCCGCCGCCGCCACCACCACCACTACACTACAAAACCTACATCGACCACAACATAGACACAAAACCTCCTAACCTTATTCACAACAATTCAGCACTGAATTAAAACCGGAATATCAAGCATTTGTACTTGAATAAAAAACAGAGTCACGGTAGTCATGATCCCGGAATAATGTAATCTAATTATAACAAGAAATAGAACTCACCAAGCACGTTGTGGATTAAGTCTAGGGGGTTGTTCTTCCTCTCCTGCAAGATCGGAAAGCTCTTCGACTCTTCCACCAAGAATACGTGCATGTGGATTGTAATCTAAATGGTCCATATCCTTTGGGATCTGGCTTCTGAGTTGTGGTACTTGGATTTGTAAATTAAGGAGAGGAGTAGAGTGTGAAGATGGGACGATGGAGAGGAGATGAAGCTGGTTTTTGTAAAGATGAAGAAGCAGGGGTACATCCGTACATGTATTCATGCATGGCGTACTACGGTTTTTATTATGACAAGTATACACCAAACTTTGAATATTATGAAAAAGAGATGCTGAAGCGGGTCGGTTACATCTATGTATGCATAGCGTACAAAGGGTATCTTTGTTACAAACAAAAATATGAAAAGAATGTTACCTCAGCTTTGGCTCTTTCAAAAAAAAAACAAAAATATGAATAGAAAAAGAAGAAGAAGGGTATATGGGTTTATCTGTTTATGCAGTCAACACGTGTCTTTCTTACAAATAAAGACATGAAAAAATATAACAACGGGGTATATCTATTTATGCATAACGTACAAAGGGTCTCTTTTCTTACAAAACAAATACATGAAAAGTCGCATATCCTCAAAACAACAGTCGAAAGTTTACATCTATTAATGCAGAGCATAAAATTATTTGGGGTAAGTTACACGGATCGTCCCTATGGTTTAGGGTAATCTGCGTGTTTGGTCCCTAAGAATTTTTTCTAACTCAGACCGTCCTTGATTTATATATTTGTTGCACGCTTGGTCCCTATTAGTTCTAAAAAGACTGATATACCCTTGCTGATTTCTTTTTTATTTTTTTAAATTATCAATGAATATTAATTAAATGTGAAAAGGATATTAATTAAATATTAACATTTGATGGATCCCACCAGCCCATTACTACTTTACCCACCCCACCCCCACCCTCTTCTTCTCCGGTAAACAACCCACAACCTCGTTTTCTTTGGTAAACCACCCATAACTCCGTTTCATCCTTTTCCGACCAAAAAGCCACCTTCGTGCTTGCTCACCTCCTTAGGTGTTTCTTGTAAGATCCATAACCAAGCTCATAACTACTAATCAATTTTGTGAAGAAAAAAAATCACAACCAAAACCTATATCTGATGAAACTGAATTCAAAACAAGAAAATCTGATGTAATAGAAATCACAAAACATCATACAGAATCTAATGACACATCAATTACAATCCAATCGGTGAATTCAATGCTCTAGACTTCAAACCTTATGCCATCAAATCCAAAAAATCCCAGAAAAACATTTTCGTCATTTAGTTTCGTTAATAGATGAGAGAGGAGAAAACGAGGGAAGTGGAGAGAAGCTAGAACCAGATTAACCCAATCGACGGAATCTACCATTACCAGGCCATTTGGGTTTTAGATCTCATTCTCTTTTCTTTCTCACGATGCAGCAACGCTCCAACCACCGAACCCTAGACGCCTCTGGTTACTTTCTTCTCTCATTTTCTTTTTCTTTCTCCAGATTGATGATGACGGTGAAGGGTTCTAGGATCCAGTGATGGTGGACGAGGACTGAAGCAGGGACTTTAGTGGGTGGTCTTTCACTTGCTGACGGTAATAAGCGGAGAGATCTTTTTTGCAACATTGTCACTGGAAACCATGATCCAGGGTTTTGATTTCACGATGGTGAATTTAGGAATGGTCGTCGGTCCAGGGGTTTAAGGGCGTCTGATGGTCCGATAATTGTTGATCCTGTCGGTGATGCTTCGTCTATCATATTTGAGCAAGAAAGAGAGAGGCAGTAGAAAGGGAGGAAGGAGATGCAACTCGATGTTGAAGATGAAGGAGGGATAAATGATGAGAAGCAAGTCGCAGTGAGGAAGGAGGAGGTAGGAGTGAGGCAGCCAAGAAGAAGGGTGAGGGACTGGATCGAACATCCAAGAGAGAGAGAGACGTAAACGGAGTGGGTTTTGGTGGTGGACCCACATGAACTTTTTATTAAATAGTTTTTTTTAAAAACAGTTAATAAAAAATAATTCTAAAAATAAAATTATAAAGGTAAAATTGTCTTTTAAGTTAACAGGGACCAAATATGCAAAAAATTAAAATTTTAGGGATGTTCCAAATTAAAAAAAAAAAAATTAGGAACTAAACACGCAGATTACCCTAAGCCATAAGACCATCTGTGTAATTTACCCAATTATTTGAGCTACACATACGCGTGCACAAATTTACTCCATATTAAAACCCAATATCGTGGAAGTTTCCAACAATCAAATAACGCGCACATTGCGGCTTTGCAACTTACATTTTTTGTTCCTAAACTCCTATTAAATAATAACATATTTTAGGTCTCTGTTTTTTAAATTTTAATACGTCGTTTTAAACTTTATAAAATGTTATTTTCATTTTTTTATTTTATTTTTTATTTTCTAAACTTTTATGAGCGTGTTTGATATGGAGTTTTTGGAAGCATTTAGGAAATTCTAACTTTTAACTTTTGATAAAATGTTCTAGTTTAAACAAAAAACTTCGTTTGGTAGTACGGGCGTTTAACTTTTATTTTAAAAAAACACTTTAAATTTAAAAGTTACTTCATGTAGCGTTTAACAAAACGCTACTGAGATTTTGAAATCAATTTCCATAATCACCTTTAAAAATATATTGATATATTTATTTATTTTTAATCAATTGTCATTTTATGTAATTTTATATATTTTAAAAGTTTCCAACTACTTTTATCAAATACTTATATAACAAATAAAAATTATAGCTCTCTGTTACACGCTACTCGCTAACCGATACCAGCTACCCGTTACCTGCTTCCAACTAACATTTACTTTTACCAAACACGCCCTATGTCTTTATCTCAAACTCACTTAAAACAGTGCTACATCAGCACTATATCAGTTTTTTCATTCTCATTTCTCTTTTATTTTTCTCAACCCAAAACACATAAAAAACTCATCTTTCCAACCAACTCAACCAGCAACGAAGATTGAAGTTTCGATTTGGACGCTCGAAAATAAAATATGTATAAAAATTAGAGAATAAGAGGGCCAAAGTCAAATTTTATAGTTTTATGCCCAATATGTAAAAAATTTATCAGTTATGGACTAATTATATAAAAAAAATAGGGGAGGAGGACAGCCCCTCCTGGCCTTATAGAAGCTCGATCCTTGGATTCAATCAACTTAATTTTTAATTTTAAAATAAATACATACTAGTTAAAATCATTCAAAATTAATTAACAAAAACATTAAAAACATACAAAACTAATTAAAAACATACAAACACAAATTGATACAAGTTTTAATGCATGAGGTACAACCAACTACTGTAAGGAAAAATAAAAAGAGAAAGCTAGCGAGAAAGAAATTAAGCAAGTTCTTACCGTTTAGATGCACTGTAACCCTCTACAAGTTTGACCAACGTGTTGAAGGAATTTTGTAGTGGAGGTACCATTGTTTGAGTGACTTTGAACTGTTCAAGTTGAAGAAATCGTGGGTCGGGGAGAATTATTGGAGGATGCGAAGGAAAAACAGGAGAATGGAACATTCTTTTATCAACATATGGAAGATCATCTTTAGATAGAGAAGGAAAACCTGTTCCAAAAGGACGACAAAAACTATTGTAGTCTTGACTCGACATCTATAAAGGGAGAAAAGAATTCAAGTTAGTTGATATGTTTAATCCTTAATTATTAACCCAAATTTTTAAATTAAGGCTAGGAGCCATATTTTTTATTCGAATTCTGAAGAGGGATGTCGTAATCAAATTCAAATCTATTTTAGGTAAGTAAGCATTTACCAGTTTCAATCTAATGAAACTCCTAGATCTTTTGAGATTAATGAACTATTCAATGATATATTTAATCTCGATTATACTCTCACTTTGTGAATGGGATGTCGATGATCACAAACGAGATGTGAATAACCATGCAAATTATCTGGACACTCTCGATGTCATTTATCATCTGAAATTAATGTGTCGGTTAACCACACGCGCTCCGTTAACTCAACGATAATTTACGAGACACCAATTGCCAATAATATTGGTCTCATATTAGTGTTTCGGTTAACCACGCACGCTCCACTAACGACCAATAAGGTGTAATGTGCAATTTCATGAGTTAGCATCAAATTCACATTTTTCCTAAAGTAACTAAGAGTGAGATTTTTAGAAAATAGCTTAGTTACTTTATCATTATACTTTTAATGAAGATTAAGTGTCCTATCGAATATGTTCGACTAACGACCCTCCACCATGCAAGAGAGCGGTGGGTAAGAATGGATACCTAATGGCGGTCATTTTACATGTCGCTTCCTTAAACTCCCCTTATAGTATGGTTTCGTGAATGTGGTGTACTAGCGATTCGACTGACCCGTCTTATACATATAGTAAATATTAAACTTTTAATCTTACATATAGTATATGGTGTATTTTAAACATTTAAAACACTAAGGGTTTAATCTTTTAATAAATTAAACATTCAATTTAATTAAATCTAAACCACATATGAATTTATTAATTACCATTAATAAAATCCATAAGGATATATTTTAGGGTTTATCATTTTAACTTTTCAAAATTAACCCTTTTAATTTTAAATTTCAAACAACCCCAAATATTAATTATTTAATCCAATTAATAATTATCTAGTAGCCAATTATGGATATAATAATTATTATTTAATTAATCAATTAATTAAATCATTAACCATATCCATAAAGATAATTACAATAAAAAAAATCATCATTATCTAATTCATAATTATCTCTAACATTTAAGTTTTATTGAATTATCTTATATTACCAAAAATCAGATTATGGTAGAATTAATAAAAGACAATTACCAAATATTAACCTAGTAAATCAAGTTAGGCAAGAAAATCCGAGATAGGCATTAGACGCACCAACTCGTTGAGTTAGAGGACCAAACTCAACGAGTTCATGCAACTAGACGAGTTCTAAGGACAACTCTACGAGTTCATTGAACAAAATGTCGATTTTGTTCCCTTCTCCTTTGAAGATCACAATTGCATCTATTCAACATAAAACTAATCTTAGGCTCTGATACCACTACTGGGTTTTGATCATAACATACAATCATATGTGTGTATGCAATCCTAAATTGATTGGATCTAAGTTTTCTCTAATTGAACATGCAAACTATGAACACAAAGTATAAACCCTAGATCCCTAATGTATAATCACAATTCACATAAAGAAAAGGGTTATAATACATACATTTAAGATT